GACTGTGAAGGCATGTTTTAACGTGACATTGAAAGAGTTGATTTACATATCTTTCATTCAGCTTGGACTGTAATGCGTTATATTCATCTCCAAGCCGATGGGACATACACCAGAAGTAAACTTCTCATGCTCCCTCAAAACAAACACCTTCATGCCCTTTTCTTTCAGTTGGTGTGGAGCTCTAAATTAATTTTCTTTACCGTAGTTAGTTGCAGAGTTCATACACACACACACTTTTTTTTATTGAAACACCTATTGCACGGACAGAAAAATCCCAACAATATACATACATCACAAATTTGCTGTGTATAACCTTGCATGCACATCCAGCATTCTTAACATAGCAGCTGACCAGCGAGGAGTGGCCCGGGCAGCAACATCACACAGGGCCCTAAAACATCCACGGAGCCACAGGAAACAGACTCTGCTCATAGCGCCTGGTCTGTCCAGCAGCCTCTCTGTCTCTGGTGTCCGGATGCAGACATGCAAAAGGTTGTGAGGAGGAGAGCAATGAAAGTGAGAAAGCCTCTTCCAGGGTTAAAAGAGGAACAAACAAGGGAGTAAATAAGAGGGTTAGAAAAATATGATAATCCTAAAAGCAGTTCTCTGGACCCTGATGTGTAGTTCATGAAGCACTAAATAATGACAGTCGAAAAATAAAGAGACATTTGGTTCATTCTTATTAAATACTAAGTATGATTTACCTACCTCGTTGATTTGTTTGTCATACTTAAATCCCGAATTGAATGGTTAAACAGAAGAGGTCAAAGGGCCAAGATGAGAAGATATGTTGGTCAAATGCTGTGGTCCAAATAAAATGACTTCAGTTCTGTTGACATTGAAGTACGGAAAGAAAAAATGTTAAATTTTGATGATCTCCTGATAATTAAACTGCCTACATTTTAAGTGTAATGTGGAGGAAAGTTTTATTCAAAAAAAGAAAAAGATTCAAATATTGTCTTTTGTAAAGAGCGTACTTAGGTTGGCATCACTTTCCTCACTTTATTTATAGACGCATTAACCTAATTCAGCTTTTCCAGCCTTGCTGACGAGCAAAAACACAAGATGATGAGGAAGAAAAGCTACAACTTAAGTACTAATGTAAGTACTAGACTTCCTGATCCACACACCAGCTGGTGGCGGTAATGCACCAATTCGTTGTTTACCAACCGCCAATAAACCTCAAAGAAGAAGATTACAAAAGGCGGCTGCTGGGTTTGTTGACTTTCTCTGAGGAATGGCGGACCCCATGGAGGTTCACTTTTCGGTGAATGGTAAGTTAGTTTATTGTAACTTGACTCCTTTATCTATTTTTTCAATATGTCTGATGTAAATGTTGATATTCACGGTGCCTCCGCATTCCCTGGTGGACTGTTTTCTAGTGTGTTCGTCTCGGTGTCTTCTTGTTCGGCCTCTCTCGTCATGGCTGACGGGGCGTAACTTCCCAAAGTGTGGGCTCACTTTACTGACGATATGTGTGCTCCTTTATATGTAAATGCATCTAAATGTAATATTTGTTTAAAAAATAAAAACAAGTCTGTAGTTATGTGTGCTGTTTAAATTGTGTGTTGCTTATGGTTAATATGTTCAAATGTAGAGAGATGATCACAGCCTTTAAACTCACTTACATCACCAACACACATTTGTAGCAATTGCAAAAAAAAATAAGATTATTGAGTCTTTTAGTGTCTTTATTTTTTTTTTTGCACGAAATAATGCAGAGTACTATAAAAAGAAGTGATCAGTATCGACATTGGTATCAATAAAATCCTGGCAATACCCATCCATACATATTGCATATTATATTGTATACTGTAATTTGGAAACCGTACATTATGCGGTTTTAGACTGAATGTAATTATAGATCTAGGTAAGTCTAATCAATGCAAGTCTCAAATGATGATACAAGGGGCACAATAACTGTGTTTAGTCAGCCTCCATCTATACACATGGGAGTTATTCAGACGTACAGTATCCGTCTACAGTGTTTACGCTCCTAACTCTAATCATACTTTTGTGTCTTTGTCAGACTTCACTTCGACTGTCTCGAGCCACGCCGGCAACTCAAGTTCTGCAAATCCCCGTGACCCACAGCGCCATTCGGTTCATGCACAGTCAGTGGAACCCACACAACGTGATCATGATTATTGCAAGACGGGCAGTAGGCAAGATGTGCAATATAAGTCGACTCAATATAAGACGACTCAATATAAGTCGACTCAATATAAGATGACTCGATATGATGACGTTGGATACCCGTTTATTGATAATGACCACAAGGCTTTGCACTACATCGGTATCGCCCTGGATGTATTTAACATCCTTGTGTCTTCACTGGAAGGAAACACTAGCAATACATTTCCAATGTCTCTGCGGAATCAAGTTCTCCTGACGCTTATGATGTTAAAGACCAACCGTGACATTGCTAAGCTGGCCGAACAGTTTCGCGTATCGGAGAGCATGGCTAGCAAGATCGTCTCGTTTTGGATCGACGAACTGGAGAAAGTTCTGCAACCTCTAATTCCGTGGCTTCCCAAAGAAACCATTGAAGCAACCATGCCCCAAGCATTTAGGAAGCACTATCCTAACACAACGTGTGTTTTACAGTTCTGTCAGTGCTATGTGCAAAAAAACCCAAACCGTGAGTCAAGAGGGGAACCGCACGTCCACTATTATGACACGGTGAAATTTTTGGTTGCTGTCGCCCCATGTGGACTCATCATGTTCATCTCTGGAGCTTATGAGGTGCACAGCAGTGACAAAAGCATAACCTTGAACTCGGGACTTTTCGACAAATTAAAAGCCGGAGATGTGTTCATGACACAACATGGATATTGCTCCAGAAATGTGTCATCCACTAGCCACGTTGCTAGAGCAATCCAACATTTGAAGGTTTACAAAATATTATCACGCGTTGTTTCGAATCGCATGGCTCCTCAAATCAACAAGATTCTGAGAATATGTTCCGCTCTTGTCAATTTAAGATACGATGTCGTCCATGCCTCGCAGTAATTGAGCATGTGATCAACATGAGTGGACTTAATCTACTTGGTTGTCAAGAACCGTCCAAAGAAATGGTGCAGTATTAATCTCTGATGGTTGAAAAATGTTTTGGGGGGAAAAAAACATGTTAGGGAGTTGGGGAATTTGTGTGAATAGTTTTTGCATGTTTTATATTTACATTACATTCTTTTTATTATATTTATTTACATTTTTTAAAACTCTGACAACTTGGAAGGTGGAGAACAATAAGTAACCACTCTCATCGTGTAATGTCATCAGCTTGTTTTGAATATGACGTGACTGTTTTTTACTTTTCTTACTCATTTGCAGTAAAATGTACTGTATCAAACATCGTTGCACATCTCTTCATTCTTAAAACGGAAATGAAACGACTGTGAAGGCATGTTTTAACGTGACATTGAAAGAGTTGATTTACA